TTTGATAATTATGTCTTGACCTGCACCCAAATGCATTTAAAAGCCAGGAGAAGGGCCTACCATCACCTGCACTTTTAAGGCAGAAGAGTATTCTCTGCTTTATATTGGAAATGAATTTTTAGAGTTGGTCTAAACACAAATCTGGTGGTGTTTTGGTGTATACACATAACTTCATTAGTCATGAGAAGGCAATGTCAATGGTAGTTCTTCCATTCTTGTAAATGCAGAGTCCTTCTATGCAATAACTGCATGATAATATTATGTAAGAAAGGAGGAAATATTTCTCTCTGTTTGGCAGATGATTCATAGCTGCTCTTATGCTCTATGTTTGGTTTAATCCAGACAGATATAAGAGCCATCTCTTCAAGCTATTTCAAAACACAGTCCAAAAACATTTATATGATTAAGCACTTCTTTAATTCTGTAAACACCATGATATCAGCAAGGAAATGACATTTAAATGGCATTTATCACTCAGTTTGTCTCATCATTGGGGATTATTTCTCTGTAAAATCTGAATTTGGAAAGAGACCTTTTGCAAAACATGAAATTGGAGCTTCTTTGCATCGTGTCCAAAAGTACTGCACAGAAAACCTACCTTTGGGGTGGATAGAGAGAAGTGACTCTTTGTGTCGTCTTTTTTTATGTAGTATCGTCCTCCAAGATGTACAGTATTCACTTTAGATAGGAAAACTGTATTTTTTTTTCTTATTAGGTAAATTGATGTTAAAAACAGCTGGAACGTATCTTAGAAAAGCTGCTGGTTGGAAGCGTTTGAGATGTTGGCAGTGAGATAAAGCTTCCCTGTTTCTGCCCACTGTGAATAACTGGGATATACATGGTCTGGTTCAAGCCCATCCAATGAATCTGGGACCACCACGGGCCAAATGGCAGCCACAGGGCTATTAAATTGAATTGGAAAGAGTAAGAGATGCAATCAGGTTCATGGGGACTGCAAGAGCACATAAAACACCTTGTAGGATCCCACCTCCGTGATAATCACGGATGGAAAGCGATGGAAAGAAACTCGAGGGCTCTTAGAGTAAAGCCCAGGGGATTATTGTGAGCACATAAAAATCCAAACAGCTTGGGATGTATCTACCTGATGGAAAGGGGACAAGGGGAGGGTTATTATTCCAACAGAAATATCCTAAAATGCTTAATTCAAGTAACAATTGCGTATTTTTATCTTCAGCCAACTGGTTTGGATTTTTAGAAACCGATGTTAATTTAAGTCTGTATCTGTTTATTTTTATATTTGTTGTACAAAAGAGAAATTGTGACTTTACTACACAAATATTATTCGAGGTCCTGGGTGCTATTCATTTAAACATACCTCCACCAGAATTAGGTGTGATCAGGTCCTCCGAGGCAGTCATGATATATCAATTACTTGCAATCACGTGTGCTAGCTATTCATAAACAGGTGGGACAGTACCAGTTTGTAGCCAGATATTTAGTGATTTTATTTCTGATACCAAAACATTTCTCAGCCTAATATATTTCAGTGCAGCTTAAAGATGCATCACGTCTTTATCTCACCAGGTTCCTCCTTAGCCCCCAGCTCGGCAGGTTTGTGGGCACGTGCCAACTTGAAGCACCCAGGTTGGATCTTGAAGCAAAGCTGAGGCTGCCTGGTTGTACTTTGCCAATACATTGATTTTTTGAAGCCAAGATGTTGCTGCAGAACATCTGGCTCAGCCAAACCTCCAGAAAACACAAAACCAGGGCGAAAGCTGAAGCCATGGCTGGTGAGCTGGGGGGTCTGTTGGCTCCACTAATTTCTCCATTTTAAGACACTCAGCCAACAGCTGATTGAGGAGGCTCCAGTTGGTCAGTTGTGCAGTCTAAATATTTAGGGCCAGTTCATAGAGTTGCTTTTTTTTTTTTCTATGAAAAATGATGTATTTTACTTCCTATGTATAAAAGTTACTTGTAAATTTTCGAGTGCCTTTGCATGTTTTCCAAGGGGCTATGTGGTTGTTTATAAACTAGATTTTTTTTTTCTAAATACAGAATTGTAAAATATCTTCCCCCCCCTTCCATTTTATTTTGATTTCTGAATTATTTGTGAAATAAAACCTTCCCAGAATGAATGCTTCCCTTGTCTTTAATGCTCAGCCAGAGCTGAGTTTGTGTTTAGAAGAGCTATTTGGGATTATTTCTGGGGACTAGAGTATTCCCTGGAGACCCCAAATGAGATTGGGTTGTGCAGAGTCTGTTCCACAAACAAATAAATGTAACTGCCCAATGCCCAAGCATTAAAAGCCAGCCTTTACCCCATCAAAAATAAGATGTATCCTTTAGTGAACCATCCTTAGAGTAAGGGAAAATCACTGTCTTTAAATCCCTGCAACATAGAGGCTGAAGTAGATTAAAAAATCCACTAGTTGGAATAAGAGTTTAATGAATTAATGCTGCAAAATATAACTGAGGTGAAGTCACCCCCACCTGAGCAGACTGTTGTTAAATATACCCTTTCTTTTTTTTTTTGAAAGGAAAAGTAGACAGATTTTTTAATTCCCCTTGAAGTTTTCTCCAAGCTCCTACTCTCTGACAGCACCACAAATCCAACCAAGTTGTTCCCTGGTAATTCAACACCACCTTGGTTAAAGGAGGTTCATAACTCAGCCTCCAGGCAATGAGCACCATGTGGGTTTGGACCAAAAATGTGGGCTGAGCCGTGGGAGGGGGTCCTGGCTGACAAGAAGGCCATGGAATTTTCTGTTTTCCATTACATATACCACAAGATCAACATAAAACCCGGAGGTGTTTGCATTACTCCAAGGCTTGCCTGATGCAGTTGTGGTTGAACAGTGTTTACCTGTAAAATCTAACTAAGCACTGACAAGGTAACACCATCATTGCACTGCCAGTGATTCCTCTAGGAGGAAAATGTCATGGCTGGTGCACTCCCTGCAATTCCAAACTGTGCATTTGAACTTTTTAATGTCCAGTTTGTCCTTGCTCTCACCTGCTCTCCCTTCTGCAAAAATATCTCCTTTGCTGAAAATGTTTGGGGAGACTTCCATCAGCAGAACCTAAAAGTAAGTACAAAAGAGAATTCAGGCTAATGGTCACTGTGAGGTTTTTTAGATGTATTAATTGCAACAGTTGTTTGGTTTCCTATTTGTTGGTGCTACAAAACAACGTAACCTGGGGGTTGGAATTAGTTGATTTTAAGGTCTCTTCCAACAAAAACCATCCTATGATTCCATGAATACTGTGGCAAAAATTAGGTCTTGGTTGGCCTAGAGATCAAAGCAGCATAACGCCCCAAATTTAAGGCTGAAGCTAAGCCCATCCCCTTGGGTTAGCTTCAAATCCTTTGACACTGTCTCTGTTTTTGCTGATGGTTGTCTCCTCCTGCTCCAGCCATGTGCTTTATCCTGTGCTCATCCACCAGAGAATGGTGTTGTCACGAGTGCTGTGTGAGAGCAACATGGCAGCCAAAGCTGGGTGTTCTTTCTGCACAGCAGGGATGAAACCCAGGTAAGTGAAGGCTGAGGGCGAAACACAAAGAAGCAAGAGAAAAACGGAATTTTTTTTTTCCCTGCTGGGGGTGGGATTGAGATTCGTGCTTTAGTGGAGAGGGCATTAAAACTGGAAGTTCGAATGAAAGTAGAGGGGAAGGGAAAGAGAAAACTATGTGGACTTCAGTGAAGGTGACCTGTTTTCCCACACTGATAATCCTCTGGGATCGTGCAGAAGCCAGGCTCTCCCAGCTTGCTGTTTCAGGGAGAAATGTCTTGTTGCTGGTTGTTTTGCCTTCTGCTGCCTGCTCCTCACCCCATGCTGAGCTCATCAGAGGCTATGTATAGCATGGGCATACCTTGGCATGGGTGTCCTTCCAAAAACCCACAGTCATTTATAGGATGTGCCTGGGCGATGTTTTCAAAGCCATTTTGCAAACGACGGGGTTGGCTCTCATTTATACTAAGGACCTACTTTAGGGCACTTAGGAGACATTTATGCCACTTTAGGGTGTGGATAGAGCAGTGTAAAGAAGCCTCAGTGTAAATAGAAACCACCCTTATATCTTGTTGACTCTGGTTAAAATAGGGTTACCGAGTTAAGTCAACAGACAAGGTTTGCCTTGTGCAGCTCCCTCTGCTCCTCACCCTCCGTGCCATGTGAGCAGGACAGGGTTATCCACAGTGTCCCTCATCAGCCACTGCACAGCCCAGCACCTCACAGGGATACTGAGTGTCAAATCGAATACGAGGATATTTATAGCAGGCGAAGAGTCAGGAGGCTCAGGTGGAATGTGAGGACTGAGAGCAGAAGGGAGCACAGGCTTTCAAAACAAATGCAGAGCTTTAGAATGTCTTACAAGTGCTGCTTCCCTCAGGTTTGGGATTCCTCTAGTTTAGAGTCTGTGGGTGATCACGGCCCCAGGAGAGGACCTGCCAACACATTCACTGTCCTGAGAAGTGCTTGGCACTGATATCCTCAAGTTTTTATTTCAGTAGCTGCTTCAAGGCTTGTTTCTGCACATCTATCTTTTGCCCTTGTGGAAGCTAAGAAAATACCAGAGGGGCCAGAGGACAAGTTTGTCAGAAACAAATATCAGAAGCAACCTAATCGCCTTCTCCACCAGCTTAACAGGCTTTGTAAGTTGGGGGAAAAAATAATAAAACCCAATACAGATTGACTGTAAGAAGGTTTTTATACCATCTCTTTTGACATGCTTTAATCAAAACATGATTTATATGAATGCAGGGTGGCTCTAAAACTGCATCAGTACCTGTGCTGGAAGAAACAATTTGCAAAAATAAGCTGACACTTGGAAGGGAAGAATACGAGGAATAATAAAAGATGGAGACAAATCAGAAAGGAGTAACTCAGCCCAACTGAGATAAAAAAGAGTCAAAAGCACCATGCTGTGGGCAAGGAAATAAATGTCATATGAAATGTGCAAAGAGGGAAAGGGTCTAAAGGCAGGTGAGAAGCATTTCAGCTTTGCTTTGTGCTGCTCAGGTCTCTGCTGCAGTGTGGTGACGTCTGGGTTTGTACATCACTGCCTGAAGAGTACTCAGCCAGCTGTGGGAAGTCCAGGAGGAAGCAAAGAGAGACCTGAGAGCTCAAACAACCCTCAAGAAAGGAGGAAAGATCGTGAGGATGACAAAGGTGAGGAAGAGGATGCTTGAAGTGTGTAAAGGTACAGTAAGAGGAGAGAGGGTATTTGTTCTTCCTGCCCAAAAGGCCACCACTGAGAAGGGATGGGCTTAAAATGTAGTAGGAAACATTGAGACTGGCCATCAGTAAAGGCTCTGACTGGAACAGATTATCTGCATGGTCTTTTTGGGCCACCATTCAGGGTTTTTAAGAATATACTGGATGGCAGCTGCTAAAATTAGATCCTGCTTTGGGTGGAGGATGGGCTAGAAAATGACTTGATGGCCCTCCCAGTCATTGTTTCTATAATTTTTAAGGCTAAAGGAAACATGACATTATATGGGAAGGGTTATCATCTGCTTGGACCAGGATGGTGCACAGGCATGGCCTGGCATTGTCCCACGAGTGATACAGAGGTGACCTTGTAGAAGTGGCCCAGGTAAAGATGTGCAGCATGGTGCCAGTATGGATTGAGATGATAAAAACTAGTTACTGCTCTCTTAACTCTTTGTTGTTCAGGTTTTTTGGGTTTGTTTGGTTCTTTTTCCCCCTGTAGGGCTTTTGGCAGACAAATGGGTCCTGTGGGGGGATCCTGAGGTGTGTTTGGAGATGGACTTGTGGACCTTCTGCTGTGTCTGAGGTAAAATACTGAGGAAAACCCTACAAAAATGCTGCTCTGAAATGCTGGCAAGGGGTGATTTAGGGCACCCCTGTAGGGATGTCACTGAGCAGAGTAACCCAAACTGAGTGCTGGCTGCTGGGGAGCAGCACCTTCTGCTGAAATGCAGAGGAGGCATTTCAGTGCCAGGCATGTAGCACCATCTGAGGACAGGTTTGTGGTGGGAAGATGGAGACCATGGAAATTTTCTCATCTGCAGAGTCATGAAACAATCTCAGGCGTCTGAGGGCAGCTGGCCAGCTCAGCAGGCTGTGTGAGCCTTTCCAAACACACGAGTGAAGTCGAGCTGTCCTAAACCCTTACAGCAAACCAGATGCACGGAGCTGAGTAGCCTAGTGCTGGACAATGCTTTCCTTGGGAACAGCTCCATTATCAGACAACAATGATGTCTGTAACTCCAGAGCACTAAAATGGACTTTGTTTGGACACCGACCATTTTAACAAGAGCAATAAAGTTATGAAAACACCCAAGTTTTCATGAGCTCCAAAGTCTCTAGTCTAGACCAAGAAAAGGACTTTAAAAGCCAACTCTGCTTGATCTTGTGGACAGCTCTGGATGCAGTTCCAGAAAATACTTGTGATCCAATTTTAAGGAGAGTTACTGGAAAAATGGTCAAGCACTGGGCCCTTGGCTTTGTGCATGGGATGACACAACGGGGGGCTCAGTGTGGAGGGGGTCCCTGACGCCCCCGACTGTCCCTCACTGACGCAAGAGAAAGTTGTGTGAGGTCTCTGCTCTTCTCTTATATAATCCGTGACTTCAGATAAAATTAATGCCAAGTACCCAAAAAAGGGATTGTGTGTGTGTTCTCTTCCCGTAATCTGAACACAGCGTTCGACTGTGACAGTTTTGCCAGTAAAAGAGACGTTTTTCCTTTGCCATGAGATCCAGATTTAAAATTAGCTGTGTCTCAGCAGAGCCATCAGCAGCGATCCCTGAGAGCCTCAGTGCTCGGTGTTGGAGGTTCAGGGCCATAAAGGAGCCCAGCAGCCCAGGTTAAACAGTGACCAGCAAAGTTTGTTCAGGGAGGGCTCCCTGGCTGTTAACAACAGGAGCCTCCGTTAGCTCCCGCATCGAGAAAACCAGTCAAACTTTATAAAAATACTTCCCAAAGTAAATATTAGTGAGTCACAGATACTAAATATTAATAACTCATACACTGGGAACAGAAATATTAGCGGGATCTGTAAGGGAGGTCTTTTTTATGTGCAATATTACAGAATCGGGTATGTGTTCCTCTCTCTCTCTTTTTTTTTTTTGGCCTGGTGTGTGCCAGCCTTTCCCATCTGAGACACAGGTTTGGAGCCGCTCCGAGGTATCGGGTCAGTGAAGTTGGTTGGTGTCCAAGTCCCACGAGGGGAGCAACTGGCCTGGAAGGGACCCAGGCAGGGAGGGTGTTTGAGCAGCGCTCCTCATCCAAGGGTCAGCAGTGGTGGGGCACTTCTGGGGAACTGGAGGGTTTCACTCTGTAATTGCAAATTACAGATAAATGAGGGGGGTTTTTTTTCACTGCCAGTCTGACCTTTTGGGGAAAAAAAAAAATCAACCCCAAACCCACCACGTTTATGCAAAGTATATGCAACCACCCAAATCCCCAAAGCACTTTTGTTGCATTAAGGAGCAAAGCAGAGTGAAAGCCACCCCTCGTTTTTCTAGTGAGGCAGCTTTAAGTAAAAAGTGGCTTTGTTGATCAAAATGTAAAAAAAATTAAAAAAATATGCTGAGTTTTAAAAAGTAAAATTGCAGTTATTTCAGTAATTTCTTTTCTTGTTTGAAAACCTGGCTTCTTAAAAGTTTGCTGGCGCTGAAAAGCAGTAATGAAAAATTTTAATTGATTTTTTTGTTTGTTTTCCTTTTTTTTTTTTTTTTTTTTTTTCCCTGT